TCTTTTTTACTTCATTTTAATTAGAACAAATTTACATAAATATGTATAAGCACACTATTTAGTTTGCTCGATTTGTAAACAAAGCTTCTCAGCGGTGAAAAATATACTATTGTGAACAACCTAAACGAGCAAAATTCACAATAGCGCTATTCTTCATCGAATGAACGCCATAATACCAAATGAAAATTCGTTCGCTCAGCACTTTCGACCACAGTCGAAAATCGAATGCAACTCATAATAGGGGCCTATGTTTTTAAAGCCCAATTTATATCGGGAAGAATTTTTAATTACATTATCTTTGTACGATACGAAACTAAGATTCTAGTACTCGATTCCAAAAAATGTTCTAAAACTATCGAGTAAAAAATATCGGTATCGAATGCCAAATGTATCGATATGATAACGTTTCGTATCGAAATTCGTGTCCCTACCGTCAAGTTGGAGCTGCACTTAGACAGGGGTTGACTCACGAGAATGATTCGCGTTGTCAAACCTTTGTTTGGCCTCGAAAGGTCGGTTTGTACAGAGCTTAACGTATTAGAGAAGGCAGATTTTCGTACTGTTAAAGAGATCGTCGTGATGTGAAATGTGTAACAAAATGTACGTAGTAATATTATAGTTACATTCGTCTGATTTTAGGTAAACTTTTTCCTCACATTAAGTATAATTTGAAAATTTAAATTTCAATCCCTGATACGTACATATGTACATCGAAATACCATACACTACATACACATTGCATATGGTAACTAGCATTTAAAATTAAAAGAAATAAATAAAAATCCATTGATTTTTTTCCAAATTATGTATATTTGTTTTAGAATAATAAATAATACTTTATAAAATATTTGAATAACTAAATTGAAGGCAAGTGTTTATAGACTTGTTATGAATATATATGTATAAATAAATATTTACATCTTAGACAATTTAACACTTAATAATTAAATGAAATCGTGCATTAAACTTAAACTTAATTATGATTAAGCAAATAAACCAAAGACTAGTGTAAACGTATAAATTGGGTTGCCATATTGTGAAGAAGTACTTAAGACAAAGTGATTACCAACATAGATATTGATGTGTTCGTAAATTGATGATGTTTAGAGGTGAAATTGTAATATAACACCTAATACGAGCAAAACAAAAACGAAAATGAAAAGAAATCAGCAAGAAGACATCTCGTCACTAAATATGTAAGTATAAGGTGGCCACCTTTCCTTTTGAAAAATCCGGTACAGTAAAATTGATTTCGTTCATTCTGAGATCTATTTTATTTATTACGTAAATGTTATAAAGTCCATTACAAATTTATTTTGAAGCAAATTATATAGTATTGGCCAAATCTATAGGCCCCCCATTTAGAAGTGATATTGTTTGCCACTTATGTTTAATCACAAGGTGTTACACTGATCGTGAACTTTTTAAGTGACCTAGTACACGTCGTAGTGCTGGTCAAGTAATTCACGGAATTGCATTTAAAATTTTTGTAACACCCTCAAATTCTCGACTTATTCTTAAAAAACCATTTTTACATGACTTTCCGCACTAAAAAATGTTCAGCTGTTAATTTTTACCCTATTTTAAGTTTTATAGTCTTTGGAAGGAAGAATGTTTGTATTATTTAAAGAATAAATAAGTTTTGTGAGCACATTGTAAATGTGTTGAAAGTTGTTGGAATAAGTCTAAAGTTAACACAAATTTTTATTATTTTTCCCCACTTCTACAACATTTTTTCTAAAATTTCAAAACAAAATAGTCTCTTTCAGTCATTGCTTCGAAAAGAATGTGCCATTCCGAGTAAAGTTAGGAATTTTCTTAAGTTTTTTTCAAAATCACTNGAGTCTAAAGTTAACACAAATTTTTATTATTTTTCCCACTTCTACAACATTTTTTCTAAAATTTCAAAACAAAATAGTCTCTTTCAGTCATTGCTTCGAAAAGAATGTGCCATTCCGAGTAAAGTTAGGAATTTTCTTAAGTTTTTTTCAAAATCACTTCGATGTAATTTCACAGAAAAATTGTATCATTTAAATTGGATTCATTTTGAGGTTTGAATAGTTCGTATAGAAATATTTGATTTTGTCTCTTAAAAAAATTTCATAACTTCGTAATATTTTAATTGATTTTAATGAATGGTACCTAGTTTTACTCGGAATTAAACATTCTTTTAGAATCAAAGGACAAATATTCCTGTTTTTAAAGCCAGATAAATACTTAACATTGGTTATTATACCCGAGCGCACTTGTGCACAAGGGTATTATAACTTTGTTCACATAACGGTTGTTTGTAACAGGCAAAACGAATGGAGATAGATATAGACAAATGTATACATAAATGATCAGAATGAAAAGAGAAATCGATTAAGCGGTGACTGTCTGTCTGTCCGTCCGTCCGTCCGTCCGTCTGTGCACACGATAACTGGAGTAAAAATTGAGATATCTTAACGAAACCTGGTACATGCACTTCTTTTGGCCGTAGGACGGATGGTATTGAAAATGGGCGAAATCGGACAATAACCACGCCATATAACGGTAATTTTCAGAAATACGAAAACTGCGATAGTTTAGTAACTACTGAAGATAATTCACTCAAAATTGACATTTAGAATAAGTTTTAGACGAAAAATAAGAATATTATAAATTTTTGGAAAATGGGCGTAGCCACGCCCACTTATAGTTACATGTGTATATCTTGGTAACCGCTGCACCAATTTCTTCCAAACTTAGCACAGTTTTTGACCCTGGAACAGCATACCAAATGGCCGAAAATTTTCAAAATCGGAAAATAACCACGCTCACATCCCATATAACGGTAATTTCGAGAAAAACGAAATCCTCGAAAAATCAGTAAATATTAAAGCTAATTTATTCAAAATTGATGGTTGCAACAATTCTTTACCAAGAAATACGTTTATGA